CCAAAATATCAATGGAGTGGCTTCACAACAACTCAGTGAATGTCCTTGAGTGGCCCAGCCATAGCCCAGCCATAGCCCAGACCTAAATCCTATTGAACATCTCTGGAGAGATCTGAAAATGGCTGTACACCGTTGCTTCCCATCCAACCTGATAGAGAGGCAATGATTGAGAGATATTGCAAAGACGAAAGGGCAAATATTCCAAAAGACACGCATTCCAAGCTTGTGGCATCATATTTAAAATGACTTGAGGCTGTAATTGCACCCAAAGGTTCATCAACAAAGTATTGAGCAAAGTCTCTAAATACTTATGTACATGAGATTTTTCAGGTTTTTTATTTTAATAAATTTTCAACAATTAAAAAAAAAATCAGTTTTCACATTGTCATTATGGGGTATTGTGTGTAGAATTTTGAGGAAATAAATGAATGTAATTCATTTTGGAATAAGAAATTTCAAAAAAAAAAAAATGTGGAAAAGGGAAGTATGAATACTTCCGGATGCACTATACTTGTGATTTATTTATAGTTAAAATAATGACTTATTTACAGGTACCAAAAAAATATTTTATTTCTTGAATAATTTTTTATTATTATTGTGAAAGTGCCATTTGTGTTTGCTTTTTTTTAAATTGTTTTTTAAATTAAATACAGCATTGGGAAACATTCAATATTTATTTACACAAGATTTTGGAAACTGTTAACAAAGTTATCTACAAACGTATCATGGCCATTGACACCCTCTGCAAGCTCTGTTGACCTGTACAACTTGCATTTGTTTTCGTTCAGAGTAGGACCAAAGAGTATAGATCTGCATGGTTGTGTTTTATATTAAAAAATTTGTTTAATATAAAGATATTCAGCTTTTCTACAGCAGGGGATATTTTTATTCATTACAATTTTTTCTCATGTTACACGACAATACCATGAGATGCACCATTTAATTCTCCTTTCTAAGGCTTTTTTTCTGTAATGCTAAATATAATGCTAATGTTAACAATAAGAGTGTATTGTACAAGTTGTACATAAGGAAAGATAATTACACACAGCGCTCTTCTTAATTAGTTGTTTTTCTTGCCCACAATAATTCACTGTGCCCACTCAGACTGTTAAATTACATGTCAAATTGTCATAAACCACATGGAGCGATTGAGAGACTAAAATGAGATTCCACACAATTTCTTCAAAACACAAAGGCCCTTCATTCCGTGAAGGCATTTTGGTCCACCTGGACACCCAGACACAGGTTAACAAATAGATCTGCAGAAAGTTTTGCATCTGCCTTCAACATTCTGCATTCGTATTCAAGTAATTAACCCCCTCCATAATAATTAGCTGTCTGCAGGAAGTGGAGATATGCTGAATTGAAAGTTTCTGTGTGGGCTTTCGCCACATGAAAGTTTTCATTACTTTCCCTCCCTCTGTGTGAGATGCAGTCATCGTCTCTGTATCGCTCTGACAGAACATGTCTCTTAGGCCTGACAGTGTGCAGAACTTGTGACAAGAAATAGAGCGCCAACAGAACTTGCCATGGAGGAAGGAACTGCATGAGTGAACAACTTCAGGGTTGATAAAGTTGTTACTAAACTGAGGCAGAATGTATGTTTTGTGTCTGTTGGTTGGAGGGAGGAAGCCCAAGGCTTCCATTTAGGTCTGTAATTGGTGTTTTTATCTAAGCCCTTTTCATATTGGGAGATCCTGTGTTCACACCAACAGCAGAAGTGTCCAGACCTCTGGCTCCATCCCTCTTTAACCCCCGGTGATTTGCTAGTCTGTGTGTTTTTATAATTGTACAGGATTTGCTGATGTGTTTGTTGGTCTGGTTTCCTGCTTGACCTTGTTTTGCACTGTTAAATGATCGGTGTAAGATCTGTGATGGGTTTGGACGGAAACCTCTGAAATTTGGCTAAGCGTAAGAATGTTTGTTTGTCATTCTGTCTGTCTTTGGATCACCTGGCTTGAGCTTGTCCCATCCAGGCCAGAGAGGTCATTTTACTTGGTCAGTTACTCTGTGGTTAAAGGAAACAGGAAAAAGATCAACTGGGTCGTTTGCATGAATTATAACTGTAACATAGAATTTTTTCACAACTGTTAAAAAGGAGAAAATTGGATTCACCCAAAGGCATATTTGCTTGTTGTTTATTTACTCAGGCTTTAAAATTTTGAAAAATCATTTAAAAATATTTTTTATTTAACTGAACATTAAATATATTAATTAATGAAAAATATTATAATAAAAACAACAACAACAATAATAATAATAATAATAATAATAATAATAATTTATTGTTTGTGAAACTGAGGGTTTTAGTGACTTCCATAATGCAAGCCAATTGTAACTATGACATTAGCCCCTTTCACACATACAGACCGGAAAGGTTGTATGTGTGAACAGGTCCTTTTTGAAAATACCGGTAAATTCGTTCTGGCTATTTTCCGGAAAGAGAAGTTGTAAGATTACCGGCAATTTGCCGGAATGCTGCGCTGTGTGAATGCAGAAGGAAGATTGCCATAATAAGCGCATGCACGTCTAGAACGTGCTGACGTGAGACATCTGCTTTAGCCAATCACAACAGTCAGACGCATTTACGTCTGCGTGGTTTGTGAGAATAAAAGCCTTTGAATATTTTTCCAGACACCTTTAGCTGCTAGAAGTTAGTCAGATCACATTTATATGTTTTTCTTAATGCCAACTGTGTAAATAATCATCGATGAGATGCTTATGATAAGCAGTTGTTTGTTTACCTTTAAACTTTGCGTGTGCCTGTGAAACAGCCTGTGAGCGCCTGCACACGCACATATTATGAACATCTCGACATGTGAAAGTGATGCTGCGAAAGTTGTTCACAATATTGATCATCCACAGAGTTTGTAATTTAGTCAAATGTTTACAAATACAAGCGCAGCCGAAGCTCATTTGTCGTGAATGATGTCAGAATTTACCGGTATTTTGGAATGGATGTGTGAATGCTCTTTTCTGGAAAATTTCCGTAATGTCCTCGCCTGTGTGAACAGCGCTTTTTTGAATATACCGGTAAAGTCCAAATTTTCCAGATATTTACCGGTATCACTGTGTGAAAGGGGCTAATGAGTCAAAAAATTCTAAAAGTCATACCGAAGAGTTTTTCGAAGAGTTTTTTTTCAATCACCTGACCTGAATCCGATTGAGCTCTCATTTTATTTGCTGAAGACAAAACTGAAGGGAAAATGCCCCAAGAATAAGTAGGAACTTAGGACAGTTGCTTTAGAGGCCTGGCAGAGCACCACCAGGATCCTCTTGAAACCAAGTCTCTGGTAATGTCAATGCGTTCCAGACTTCAGGTTGTAATTGACGATTTGCAACCAAGTATTAAAAAGTGAAAGTTTTATTTATGATTATCATTCTGTCCAATTACTTTTGAACCCTTAACAAATGAGAGGCACATATGCAAACTGTTGTAATTTCTACAGCGTTCACCTGATTGAGATGTAAATACCATTGAATCAAAGTTGGCAGTCTGCATTTAAATCACATCTTATTAGTTTCTATTTAAACCCAAAAATGTTAGAATCGTGTCGGTGTCCAAATATTTATGAACCTTACTGTGTGTGTGTGTGTATGTATGTATGTATGTATGTATGTATGTATGTATGTATGTATGTTTTTACGTTTTTATGTATGTATATTTTACGCAGGGCATCCGCTGCGTAAAAACTTGCTGGATAAGTTGGCGGTTCATCCCGCTGTGCGACCCTGGATTAATAAAGGGACTAAGCCGATATATATACACAGTTGAAGTCAGAAATATTAGCCCCCCCCCCCCCCCCCCTCTTTATTTTTCCCCAATTTTAAAAAAATTCAAAACTGCGTTTATTCCAGCCAAAATAAAACAAATAAGATTTTTTACAGAAGAATAATATATTATTTATATTATATTTAGCATTTTATTTAGCTAAATAATCTTGCTAAAATACTTATCCGTAATAATCCAAATACCAAGGTGTTATATACATTGTTTATACAGTGGTCAGCATAATTAAGTTCACCCCATTTTGAAAATGAGCATTTTTTTTCCATTTCTCAGTAAATACAGGCAATGTATTTTAATGAATTTAAACAACAGATTTATTAAACAGGTATATTTATTAAAATAATATTTTAGTCACCAAACATATTTAGAAATTGAAAGATAATACAATTTAATTCAAGCAAAATATTACAAAAAATATAACATACAACATTTTAACTAAATTTTTAATTTCCTCTTTTTAAAATGTGTATTTATTATTTTTCTATAACATATGCACATGAGTGTACTAGTTTTTGGAACGTTATATTAAGTTATTTTGTTAAATATGCTCCAGATTTGGCTTCAGTACTGACTAATCTAATGGATATGCACAAATATTATATTGTATAGCTTTTTATTAAAAATATGAATTTAATATTAAATTTAAAGATTTGTGAGAGGTGTGCTTATATACAGTATACTGAGCACTGTACATACAGTAAATGTATGTGTGGTGTCCATACACTGTAAGCTCTGCTCACTGCACTACAATATCTACAACAAACAAATGCAGCTCGCAGCACTTCAACACAGCTCCTTTAGTACAGGAACAAACTGTCAATTAAAAATGAGCTGTGGATGATCGTAATGAAGATCATCATGATAAGATTCTGGGTGCTGGAGAGAACACAGTTGTCACAAGCTTCACTTTAACTTCTGAAACCTCAGCTACAGTCTTGATGTATGAGTTATTTGTTAGACTGATGATCTCGTTAGGCTGACGATCCTTCTAATTAAGAGATGCTTGAGCACATCCATGAAAATCTGTTGCGTCAACTCATTTAATTAGCCTGCCGTTATCTTGTAATCATGAACTTCAGCTTGCTTTATACATTATAAGGTCTGTGTTATACGTGCTTTTGTAGAATTTGCCCACAAGCTGATTATTGTTTATTGTTTGTTAATGTGTACAGTATGTATAATTGTGGTGTATATCTTTGGTGTGTTTTAGGGTCGTCCAGAGGAGGAACTGGACCGCTTGACTAAGAAGATGCTGTATGACATGGATAATCCCCCATCTGAGGAGTATTTCGGTATGTTCTCTACTATGCTCCAAAATTATTCTATTCTTCCTTTATTTTAAGCACATTGGACCCTAAAATGGTACCATATGTGAAGATTTTCTGATTGTTGCTGAAACATGTTCTACGTTAATGAGATAGAAAAAGTAAAAGCAAAAGACAAATTTATCTGGACAACTTTCAAGTTAAAAGGTCTTCATCAAGTCACAGAGGAAACACAACTGAACTCAAGATATAGTTAAACTCTAGACATCGTATCTGCAAACAATGATCACCCGAGTTAATCAATGTGTAAGTAAATAAGAAAAATACAAGTTGTAACAAACAGAAAATAATTACAAAAAAAAATTATGTATACACACATACATACATAAACACATGTATAATACTAAAGATGCTAAAATCTGAATACAAACCTAGAGAAGACAATGCATTTAATGTTGAATAGAAAACTTAATGTGACATTTAGTAGAATTTCCTACATCGATTAAAAACTATTTGCCAAATCAGCTAAGATGAGGGTTCTTCAACTTTAGAGGGCTATCAAGACTGTTTTCTACATTAGGTTCATTTATTCATACAGTATGAACATGGTAGTTGCACTTGAATCAGCACCAAAACAATTCTTAGACCTTAGATCGCTTAAATGAAGGGCTTCCATTTGGAAACAAACTCTGGAGCAGTTTGCTTTTGGTGTTAAAGCAATCTGACCAATGGACCAACAAACCAGGTTTTATCTGCATGATGAGTACATATATGATTACATAAAAGGTGAAGAGAAATGCTTAAATTAAACTATGGTTCAGAACAACTGTCTAATATGTACAAAATGCCATTAACGTCTATATTTTACAATACTAAAATAGTTGACCCTTTAAATCTTAAATGAAAACCTTTTTATATAGTTCTGTGATGGCTGCTTTCAAATGACTGCTTAAAGAGATAGTTCTCTCAAGTGGTTCCAAACCTTTATGAGTTTCTTACCTTATTTGATCACTAAAGAAGAGATTGTAAAGCTAATAACCTGTATTGACCTGTACTGACTTGTAAAAAGTAATGGGTAAGTAAATGAGGAAGGGGTTTTCAGTTGTGGGTAAACTATCCCTTTAATGCAGCTTTAAATCCATGAATCTTATGTTTTGAAAGAGGATTTATCAAATTTCCAAGCTTAGTTTTTCATTTAAAGTTTGTTCTGTTAAAACTGTTTAAAACATTTTGAAATTTCAATGGTTCTTCACTGAGGGCAATCAAACAAATCCACATGAATCTTGTTGATTCATTGAGATCATCACTGAGTTAAAGTTAGAGTTAATATAATGTGTTTCATAATTTGTGTATCTACTAATTCTTTCACATTTTTACATTTTTTTTCTACCCTCGACTAAAGCTATTTTTGGTCAACTAGTATTCATTTATTTTAGCCATTAGTCAACTATTCATCCATTTATTAAACAGTTTAAATCATCGAACAAAGTCTTCAATTGCCTACATATATGAGCAATATCACACGAGTAACAGTGTGATGTGGCTGTATATTGGCACTGGTGGAAGATGTGCGTTGCTACAAGTGTTATATTGTATTTATAGAACAGTTCGACAGCATAATCGTGTACATAAAAAATAAAATCAAACACAGATCACAATAATAATCCCCGGAAAAGTCAAAGCACTTCCAACACTACCAGATTACTGTTGTGTTTGTGATAAGGAAAACCACAAAACACATGCGGGCATTTCTTCTTTCTTTCTATTTACTGAACTAGTCTGCAGTAAAGAAAACAGGCGATGCTTTAGAAACAAAAACTACAATTATATGGGACATATACAGCACTACAGCATACAAACAGATAGAGGGATCAATTTAGAATGTCATTTACCTGTTTTTGTCTCTGTCGCCATCTTGTCGATGAACAACGTCAGCCGTCTTTGGTCTGCTCAATGACAGGCTAATGGCTGCCAACGTCTCTCCGAAATGATAGATATTTAAAATAAGCACTATCCTTATAAATAAGCTGCATAGTTGCAATCTTAACAACTATATTCTCAACTAAAACAGCCTTAAAAGTAAATTATGTTGTCCAACAGCAGCAATATTTGACAAACTGTAGAGTGTTTATTTTAGTTTTTACATTCTCCGAGTGATATAAAGACACAAACGTTTCTTGTGTGGTTAGTTATGTGTGTTGAGGTGAAGTTAAGATTGTTTTTAATCATAGAGTGACTGTCAAATGTATTTTTTTAATTTTATCTGTCGGATTTTCATTGTATTGATGTACACTTGGTAAATGATAATAATTTATATACTATTTCCCTTTGAAATAATGTTTGAAATATGAAGATAAGTAGTCTTTATGTGGTTAATCATGGAATAATGAAATGAAAATGAGAGTGGCCGTCTAACTAATGACGCATTGTGATTGACTATAGGATAAAAGGGTGGAGTTAGAGGATTGTGTCTCACTGAGGAAGGCATTGTGCCGAAACGTTTATGTCTTTAAATCACCCGAAGAATGAAAAAAATAAAACAATACAAAGCAATTACTTGATGAGTGCGAATCATTACCTTTTTAAATAATGTTTTTGTGAGTAGAAACAAACAATCACATAGTATTTTGCAGATTTGAAAGATGCATTACTATTATCTGTAGGACCCAAAAATGAATGGAGTGATTTCACAGGTGCCTCCATCTGTCATGCAGCGAATACAGCAGTTCTGTTCTGCAAGGACTCCAACATAGCAGTCATTTTTCTAGGTTAACAATGGATGGTGTGGCCATGTAAAGTTGCTATTTGAGGTCGATGAATGATAGACAAGTGTTTACATGTCCTGTCTGATGTACTATTACCACATCATAGACTAGCCATTAACGATCTGCCCATCAATAAAATCTTGGTCAACCAAGCCTTTTTTCGTCAACTAATGATTAGTAATTGGGACCAGTCCTATGACTCATAAACATTTTAATGAGTCATTTGGAAAATCAAAATAATAGTTCAAATTGTCTTGTTGGCCCCTAAAAAAAGGTTATTTAGCACTCAACCACATTAAATTAAGATAATAACAAACTCAGGCTGCGAACTAAGGGCTAAATATACAGCGAACAAATTCATGAACTAAACAATGTACAGGTGATAATTATAGGTTACAATGGAAGCAAATAAGGATGTAATCACAAACAAAACTGAACAGGGTAAAGAAACAGGAACTAAACACAATGGAACATAATGTCAAAATAACTGCAAACGGAAAATGTCCTCTACATTGAAACATTCCTGTTTTAGAGGCACTTTCTACACTTGTGAGCTGTAAGTCTCTGTGTGCTGGTTTGTGTGACATTCATGATATTGCATCATGTTTGAAAGGGATGTAGCAGTTATGTAATCTTGCAAGATAGACTTTTGCTCGTTGACCTTTACATGAGGCCACAAGCAAGCATTATGCTTGTCTTTTTAGGAAGCAGGTGTAGACTATGGGTTCCCATTTCTGTTCCTAGAGATCCACTGTACGGTACCTTCTGCAGAGCTCCGATCCACACCTGACTGCAATTACCAAGTGCTCCTGAAGTACTTGTGAGTTATGTGTGTGTGCATGTGTGTGTGCTTGTGTGTGTGGTGTGTGTACACGTCTGTGTGCGCGCATGTGTGTGTGTGTGTGTGTGTTTGCTTTTCTGGATTCACATTCATTCATCCATTTCCAGCAATGTGAACTTCCCTTTTTACCGTAAGTGACAGAATACATTCCCTGCAGTTCTTACCATCAGTTTTTACTGTCAGCTTTTATTTTTACTCTATTACTGGGAAACGGAGCTCTGCTTTCTGCTTTTCACATATTCACTACTTCCTCCTGTTTATCTAAGAGGCCTATTTTATTAATACATCAATACATATAAATCCACTGTCTAAGGGGCCTATTATACATGTACCACAGGTAACATAAATATTGACACATCACAATTTTCACTATTTATTTAAGTTATGTGTAATAAAAATAAATTACACATTTAAGAAGTCACATGAAGAAACACATAAAAACAGAAGGTGTAAAAAGCATGGAAAGCCCAAACATCTGCTGAAAATTTTCAGTAGTTAGAAAGCAATGCTCATCTGATGTCAGTGTAAATTAATATTAGCTGCTTCTGTCCCAACATCTACATTGCCAGATGATGAAGTTGAAACCAAAGTGAAAAATTCAACAAGACAATGATACCAAACACAGGTTTTAAAATCAAAATAAAGCTGCTAGTATGGCCCAGTCAATCACCTGACCTGAATCCAATAGAGAATAAAAACTAAAGAGCAAAGTTCATAGACATTTTTAGAGTCTGTTGATGTTTTGTTTCACTGAAATATGAACTTAAAGTACATTATTCCAGAGCCTGTGTTACAAAAAAATATATACGTGTAAAAGTAAATGTTTTAAATAAACAAAAAAAAAGAAAAACGACAAAAAAAGGGAGAAGTAATTCTGTACTTTCCTTTTTTTTAGGGTTAGGGTTAGGATATATCATTTATTTTATTTTACCGCTTTTTTCAATGCAATTATTGCAATTCACTGCCTTGTTTTTCTTTTTTAAATATTTCCCAAATTAGGTTTAACAGAGGAAGGAAATTTTCACAGTATTCCTTATTTATCAGTATTATTTTTTTAGTATTCCTAACCCTAACCCTCTTCTGGAGAAAGTCCTATTTGTTTTATTTCGACTGGAATAAAAGACGTTTTAAATTTTTTAAACAACATTTTAGGGCCAAAATTATTAGTCCCTTTAAGCATTTTTTTTTTTTTTTTGATCGTCTACAGAACAAACCATTATACAATAACATGTCTAATTACCATAACCTGCCTAGTTAACCTAATTAACCCAGTTAAGCCTTTAAATGTCACTTTAAGCTGTTTAGAAGTGTCTTGAAAAATATTTAGTAAAATATTATTTACTGTCATCATGGAAAAGATAAAATAAATCTGTTATTAGAAATAAGTTATGAAAACTATTATGTTTAGAAATGTGTTGAAA